AGTCCCATGTATTACTCTTCCAGTAACATAGTCACCATGATACCATTCTTGTTTGGCTTATATTGCCTTTCTTCATTCTAAAGAATGTATCACTTTGCATGTCTCTGCATCAAATTTCATCTGCCTCAATTCTACCTATTCCAATAGCTGTCTCTGTTGTCTTGCAAACACCACCCTCCCCACTGTTAACTCCACTCCTTAACTGCGTCATGTGCAAAATTGAAATTACATTCTTTATATCCACATCCAATTATCATGTATCATAAAAGCTATTGTCCAAGTATTGATCCTGGAGAAATCCACTGTATACCTTCGTCCATGTCAAATAATGGCTGTTCACCAATAGAACTGTTCTTTTCTTCTTATCCTTTAGCCAATTCATACCCATGTTGCCACTGCCCCATTTATTTAATAGGCTTCAATTCTGCAATGTAGCTTATTGAGTGGAAAATATTTAAGAGAAATGGAAAAAATGTGTTGAATTTAAATTTGAAAACCTGATACATCGTTCACTGAATATGTCATTTAACAATAAATAATGTTTCAAAACAAAATCATCATTGGATGTGGACATTCCTGGCTGAGCTAGTATTTATTGTCCATCTCTAGATGCCCTTGAAAAGATGATTGGGAGCTGCCTTCTTAAACTGCTGCAATCAATTTAATGTAGGCAGACGCAAAATGCTATTAGTGAGGGAGTTTCAGAATTTGGACCCAGCAACACTGAAGGAATGATAATATACTTTCAAGTTAGGATAATGAGTGGTTTGGAGGGGAAACTTTCAGGTGGTGGTGTCCCCATGTATTTGCTGTCCTTGCCCTTTTCAATAGCATAAACACCACATGACTAGACCATAGCACAAATATTTACCTGCCCAGTATCAACATACTGGAGGTTATCATTGACCAAAAAGCAAACTGGACATGCTGTATGAAGACAGTGATAAAAGAACCAGTCAGTGGCTAGGAATGTTGTGGTTTAGAAGGTGCTGTGTAAGAAGCCTCGATGAATTTCCGCAGTGTATCTCGTAGATGGTACACACTGCTGCTCATGAGCATCAGCAGTGGACAGAGTGGATGTTTGTGAATGTGGTGCCAGTCAGGGGGGCTGCTTTATCCTGGATGTTGTAAGGCTTCTTTAATGTTGTTGGAGCTTCAATCATCCAGGGAAGTATTCCATCACACTCCTGACTTGTGTCTTGTAGATGGACAGGCTTTGGGGAGTCAACAGTGAGTTACATGCTGCAGGATTCCTAGCCACTGACTGGTTCTTTTATCACTGTGTTCATATAGCAAGTCCAGTTTGCTTTTTGGTCAATGATAACCTCCAGTATGTTGATACTGGGCAGGTAAATGTTTGTGCTATGGTCTAGTCATGTAGTGTTTATGCTATTGAGCTAATAATTCAAGGTTCTGGACCATTATTATAAAAGAAACACAGATTTCAAGTCCCACCATGAAGTTTGAACAAATGTTTTTGAAAAATTTGAAAAATGAGATGAAAAGCTGGTATCAACAAAATGGATTGCAAAACTGTTAAATTGTTTTTAAAAACTCATCTGCTTCAATAATATTTATTAGGGAGGGAATGATGTTGGCCTCATCCAGCTTGATCTGAGTACTTCCAGACCCTTATCATCTGCATTCTGACATTGCCTCAGCAGCTGTTAAGCTGTGTTGCTTAGATCAGCAGCAGGAAAGTCCACACCTTCTCAAGTCAACAAGAGATTGGAAATAAATGTAGCCTTGCCGGTAACATGCTTTTATTTAAACCAAGACATTCCTTTCTCACTAGGATAAAGAAACAAATCAGTCACATTTCTGGATACTGATTGTTGTTTCGTGAAATCTGTCAGAACATGTTTGCTTATCACTGTGAGAACAGGCTGGTCTATGATTTTTACCCAACAGTCCACTTGTCAAGAATCATTGCCTCAATCCAAATGTGAAGGATGCCTTATTGGATTACCATTTTCAGGTCCTGTCAAACTAGGAGCTAGATTTTAATTTACTGAAGCACTAGTGAGTCCAGTATCTCCCGAGAACTTCAAGTAAACAACAGTTCACAGTAAGATATACAGTTACTGAAAAACCATATTATTTCCAGATTTTCCATCATGTATCTTGGAAGGATACTACAAATAAAGAGTAGACCTCATAGGCCAAAAGGCTTCCCCTGCACAGTTTGAATCTATGATACTAAATTGGTTGTCTAGCTGTAGCTAGAATCTATGAACTGTTGATGTATAGCTGGACTATACTGGACTAGTGAAACTCTAATTCACTTCTAAAACCACCTTGCCATACATACAGACACTGACAATAAGCCACGGTGAACGGAACAAAAACAGAAGGCATTTCAATGGTCCTGTCCGCAGGGTTCGCTGAGATGATCCTTGAGCTTGCCAGAATTTGCTATTCTTCAATCTTTCTTTTTCTCTCCAGGTAATTTCCACCTCATTGCAGGAAGCACAGAGTGACTGATTCACAAATTATAAAGTTACTGATTTATCAGTTAAAAGCAACATCTCTCAGCAAGTGATGGAACAAAATAACCGACTTTCTTTAGGCTTCAGGTCTTTTCTTCTGCAGAGACATGCCACCTTCCCTTCTGGCAAAATCATTCACACCCACAAACCTTCCAGCTACCCAGGAGGCATCCACATAGTAGCTGGTGGGCAGGTGGCTTTTTCAGCCATTGCTAGTCACAACTCCACAAACCAATCAGCAACTTGTGCTGGCTGAATCTTACTTTGTACACAGTCCTTGGTGCCAGCCTGTCTGTAGACAACCTCTCACTGCTTGAACAAAGAAGCAGGGTGAACATCATTTCAATGAATTTCAGTCCCCTTTTTTTTAGAAAGTGTTCCTTTCACAATCCTTGGCTCTAAAGCAGTCCTTTCCCACTTTTAGTCCACAAAGCGAAAGTTCAGAAAAATAAAAATCTTTACAATGCACTGATCTGTCCCAGGACTGTATTTTCCCGAGACCTCCAACCGACTTTGATGAATATCTGCCAGGCATGACTGATAGATCCCTGACTGCTCTCTTTGCTGTTCCGTTATGGATAATATGATATTCCCCTGTCGGCCTGTGATGGACCCACAGGACTGCCCATTGACTATTCCCTGGACTGCAGTTGGGCATATCTCCTGACCATGCCTGACCCAAACAGACAATTGATTGTGCCCTTTGCTCCTGGACGGTGTGTAGACTGTGCATGTGGCTGACGGTGCCTGGATCACTGACAGCATCCCCTACCACTCCCACTGACTGGAGTATGAACCCGCTCCCACCCACATCCAACATGATAAGTTGGTTGAATAAACGTGCAGAGAGTTTGCCATGCAAGCAGCTGGCACATGCTGTAGGTGTTAGATGACATCTCAGCATGCCATGCAGAAAAAAAGGCCCCCAGTCCCAGACAGATCCTGACTGACAAACAGAAAAGAGCATCTCATTTCAGTGCTATTGATATCCTTTGGCTCTGGCTGAAGCACCAATATGACAACAGGTGTGGATGCTATGAGCATGCAGGTAGGCACTAAGTGAGTGAGCCTCTAGACAGCAAGCCAGCAGCCCTAAGGGGCAGCCTGGTCCAATCTGTGCAAAATGACCATGCAGCACCCTTTCAATATTCAAGGCTGATGAAGGTTGCAGTACAGCATTTTGCTTCCCAAGTGACCTGCTAGTGGGCTGGAGACGTGTCAAGAGGTTCATGAAAGGTTGGCAAAAGTAGGATACTAATATCCACTCATAAGGGATGTCTGTAATTGGCCAGTATGGGTCATACCCAGAGTGCTGTTTGGTGCTGAGCAACACGGAGGCAACATGGAGTGAATAAGTTATTTAACAAACTGTAATGCCCCGCAATCAGCAATTCACTGCTGCTGGGTGAGAAATTTGCGCCCACCATCCAGCAGATGCACAAGACAATGAGTTTCTGGTGGTGTCAAGTTAGGCCTCACAGGGCTCCCTGCGTGATTCCGCTGTAAATCTCACCATAGCCTGAAGGGTCTAGGCCCGAAACGTCAGCCTTCCTGCTCCTCTGATGCTGCTTGGCCTGCTGTGTTCATCCAGCTCCACACCTTGTTATCTCATAGCCTACGGCTGTTCAGGTCCCGAGAAGTATTTCACCCAAGGATCTACTGCGGCTTTTATAGCGAACAAACCAGTTTTGCACGTTCCTAGTCAACGTGCCTGAAAAATGAAGTTGTTGTCATGCAATAAATCTTCTTATCTAAGAACAGTGTCTCATCTGTAAATATTGTGTAGTGAAGTATCCTCCAGCCCTGATCACGAGATGGATCAAAGACAAAGCAAATACAAAAAGAGATTGTCTCTGAAACAAAAAGAGAATTGATGGGCAGCAAATTAACTTCAAACAACTCTTCCTCGGTAGAGATGGCAAATACAAAAACTTACTAGAGAGATGATGTCGGAAAGTACCACGCCAGTATCTATAAAATATGTTACCTCAATATTCGTTTTCCAAACCTTCCATCCATGTATTTCAGACATTTGAACAAATCTTTCTAAAACCTGCTGATGCTATGACTCCCTAGCCGGTTCCCCCGGACAGCTCATTCACGACCGCTCACTGCTCCCTGAACCGGCTAGCTCAATCAAAATTGTTTTTCAGACATTTCCTTTGCTATATTTGAGACAAATGTGAGCTTGCTGGTTCGCTGCCTGATCAGTTGACGTGATGTTTGAAAGACATTAATTGGATTAAATCTCAAAACAAAAAGACTGGACGGGCAAGTTATTTCCATAAAGAAAGAAACAACTTATAATTCAAATACAAAACCGGAAGCTAAACGTTTAAATACGGCCCTAAGTTACATAACATATTGAATTGCAAATGTCGGTCACGTTTTTTTTTAAATTTAGATGCGCCTGCCATTTGTTTTCGTAAAATGTAAATATCTTAGTTTCAGTAAAAAAAACTGTTATGAACTGTGGTCTCTGTGAGCCCTATGAGTCCTTCAGTCGCTTACCTCGCTGACGATGGTGGAGATGTACTGATCCTTACTGTACACCCATCCATCCAAACAGGGCTCCTGTTCCACCTCAGAAATATTGACGGAATCTGGGTCAGGAAATATCTCCGAAAGATTCCTGATCACATCCAACCGGTACCGTCTACATTTGCTGTACTGGAGTTTCCCCTTGGCTTGTTCCAGAGGGATAGTCCGTTTCATCCACGCTTCACTGAGGTTGAGATTCCCGGGAATGAAACAGCGATGTTCAGGAATATCCCCGACAAAAACTATGGACATTCCGCAGAAACCATTGGGAAAGACGCTGATGCTCAAAAGGAAGAAGATAATTTTCTGGAAGGGTCCCCATTGTCCGAGAAAAGCGGTGATTTCATCGTAATCCCGCATGTTAGTGACAGCGGGAGAACTGGCAGCGATTCTCTTCCGTAAAACTGCAGCAATTTGTCGTTAGCAGGCAGACCGTAACTACCGGCTTGAATAATTTAAACTTGTGCTTTAAACTCCATCGCTTCCACTATAAATACTGCATCATGTCCAGACCTGATAGCTCCTCCCAATCCTACTGTCTTGTTAAAGGCGTTCTTTCAGTGAATTACTCGTCTGCCAGGCATTAAAGTATTTCTTACACTTCACACGGTTTCTATTGTCACTCCAATTTTTTTTTACAAAGATTCCAATTTCTGTTCACATGCTGCAAGGCTTTTTTTTAAATGGAAGTCTTAGAGATACAGCCAAACATATTAGGAGCGGAAGGACGCCATTCATAACCTTAAGCCTCCTCTGCTATTCAATCAGATCGTCATGATCTGTTTCTGTTTCCAATTCCATTTTTTCGCCTACTCCTAATAATGTTGATTGCCTCCCAGGGATAAAACAATGAGAGTTTGCGCGTTCTCTCCGTGTCTGTGTGGGTTTCCTCCCACAGTCCAAAGATGTTAAGGTGAGATGGATTGGCCATGCTAAATTACCCAGAGTGTTCAGGGATGTGTAGGTTAGGTGCGTTAGCCATGATAAATGCAGGGTTCCAGGGGTAGGCAGATGGGTATGGGTGGGATGCTCTTTGGAGGGTCAGTGAGGACTCGTTGGGCCGAATGGCCTGTTTCCACACCGTGGGGAGTCTATGGAAAGCAGTAGTACTTGAAGATGAACGCACCAGACACGCTGGCGTTCCACTTCGTAGAGAAAAAAAAACACGCCGGACCAGTATTTGTCATTTACAACTCTGACTTTTATTTTTCAAAAATATACTTCATTCATAAACAAATAAAAATATATTATACATATAGTCACAAACGCAGTTCGGTTCTGTGTGATAGCATATGAAGAAAACAAGCAAACATTGGATTTTGACTGTATCCAACAAAAAACACCAAAGGCATCTCTCATTTGCACAAGACTATACTTGCATGCTTCTGAGCCATCAGGGAGATCGGATACAACAAGGTGCAGGGCTGGATGAACACAGCAGGCCAAGCAGCATCATAG